AGAATTTATTGTCTGCACTGGCCTATCACTAAGTGTTTGAATCAACAGACTTCTTTTGTGTCTCCGATGGGCAGGCACTGGGCTTCAAGATGTAGGTGGCCATAGTCTGTGGCTTCCTGGAGCTTATGTTCCTGTGAAGGAAATAGATGGACAGCAAGAAACAGACAGATAAATAAATAAATTAAAATTGTTTGGAGAACTAGATCAAGTTAAGACTTGATCTTTTTCCTCCCTTTATTACCTACCTTCGGGCCGGGTGCTGTGACTCATGCCCGTAATCCCAGCACTTTGAGAGGCTGAGACAGTTGGATTACCTGAGGTCAGGAGTTTGAGACCAGCCTGACCAACATGGAGAAACCCCATCTCTACTATAAATACAAAATTAGCCGGGCTTGGTGGTGCATGCCTGTACTCCCAGCTACAGGGAGGCTGAGACAGGAGAATCACTTGAACCCAGGAGGCAGAGGTTACAGTGAATTGAGATCATGCCATCGCACTATAGCTTGGGTGACAAGAGCGAAACTCTGTCTCAAAAAAAAAAGAAAAAAAAAGAGTTGATATTCTTTTTCCTACCTTTATTACCTACCTTCCTAATTGACAACTAGCAAAGGTGCCAATGTATATGTGGAATCCTTCTAAACACAATCAGATTAGCCCTATAAAAACACAAGTGGGAACAATATGAATACCATACTGTTCAAAGTAAAGCCTTAAAGCTAAATCATCCTCCAAATTTGTCCCTGATATTTATTTAATTTTAGGCCAAAGGAATGAGGAGGCCAAGGACCATAGTTGGATTAATCAACTATTTTGAATATCCATTCACAAATAACTCATCTGGTACTAAAAAGCATTTTATTACTAGGATGATGGCTGAGGATATAATCTTTTATATCTGAAATAACCTTTTGCCAAAAATATTTCATCATTTACTCTCAAGCTCCTCTCCATATTCTCAGTCTTGTCTTCATTTAATCCTTAATAGGATTGATATTAAAACCATCTAAAAAAATGTGGCTCACAGCTCCATGGATGCAATTATTGTGACATGTGCCTTCCATCTTTATCCAGTAGAAATTGTATGTTGCCTAGGATGATTGATTTATTACTGTCTTTGTACTTGATTTTGTCATTATTCATTATTTTCTTTGTCAAACAGACCCACACTCTTCTTCATATAATCACCCAGTCTTGTCTCTCAGTGAACAAAGTAGCTGATGGCTCCCAGCATCCTACTGTGGAAACCTGTAATGATAGCACTTTGCAAAAATGGCTACTGAGAAACTATACAAGAATGGAAATTTTTAGAAATATTTTTGGGAATTCTACTGATTACATTCTCTAATGATTTTTGGAGGTTTGTGTTGCAGACTTTATTAAATTTATTTTCATATATATTTTCATATTTTTGTTATGTTCAGTTATTTAAATCTGGGAACTCCCTTAAAGTGTGGTTGAGAAAAATCTGTATATACTTTTTCTCCATGGAATTAATTCTCTTTTACTTCTTAGCTACTCATTAATTTTGGCGACTGCATATATTAAGTTGCATTTAGTCTGTCATTAATGAGTACGTATTTTTTGTTATTTTTTCTTTATTTTAAGCATATATATACATAAATATAATTGATGAACTATATTATGAAATATTAGCTCTTTTTGATGAGAACTATAGCTATGTCTATATGACAACAGGTTCTGCATCATCGGATCTGGAAAAATTCAATTTAAAAACAGCCAAAAAAAAAGATTGTTTCTGGGACACTGAAATAATTTATTTTTGTTTCTTTTTGTTCAGATACTTTGGTTAAATGAAAATATAGCATATCCTTTCTAAAGTATTATTATTTTAATTAAAACACTAAGCAAATACAGTATTAAATATTAAGATGTGATTTTCGATACCTTTATAAAGAGAATTTTATAAAGAAAATTATCTCTAAGCATTTATTTGTGGTTGCCTAAGTGAAATAATAAAATATTTTTTAAAGTTGTCTTGTTAAGAGTGCAAATAAGAACATGTCCTAGCTTTTGGTGTTAAGGGGTTTATTATCCAATAAATAAAATATTTTACTTTGCCCAATACCTTACAATGAGAACACAAGGGAAATTGGGGAATTTTTCTGGTTCAAATGAACCACTTAAAGATTGTTAGTGGAGGAAACAACTGAGCTCAGAAGTCCTGTAACAAAGCTGAGAATGAAGTTATGGAGAGGGGACAACATAGGAGGCATTGTTTTGATTAGAACTATATTCAAGCCAAAGACATTCCAAATGTAAGAGTTGGTAAAGCTGGAAAAGTCGAGGCCTTTGCACAAAGAGAACTATGTACAAAGCAATTTATGTCTGTTATCTTAGTTTGCTTTCAAAGCAACCAAACCTGATATGTGCAATGCCCAACAAAGAGGTTTAGGCTTAACTGAATATTTATTCTCACAAGTCTTCTATAGCGTGCTAGAGCAGAGACCACAGAGTGCTTCTCTCCGTGGAAGAAATTGCAGCAGTTCCTTTAGCAGCTCTTACAGCTAGTCTTCTGGGTGTTATCTTCTCCCCAGGTAACAGTCTGGTGCAAGGAGATGAGGTCCATATCAGGCAGACGGTCAATTTACTGGCCATATCCTCACAGAAGATAATCTCTCCCTGTTAACAACTCCATAGGCCTAGCTTCCAGGAATCAAATAAAACATACAAAATTACAAGTCTGCACTTAGAAAAGCCTAAAGTTTGCTTTTCTCTTAGTATATATACACAGTTTATCAGTTGCAGATGCAGTTTATCAATCAGAGGTCGTTTTTACCATAAGCAAGCTAGAAACATAGTTAACATTTTTACCCTTTCGAGGTTGCCAAGGGATCACAGTTAGTTGACTGACAGTCAAATTTTTTAAACAAAAGGATATTTGTAAGCATTTTTAAGTCTAAGTATTTTCTGAGGAAGAACATGACTCCTCAGAATAACTTGAAGCATGCCCAAGTGTTTACAGCTAGTAAGTAAGGGACAGGAATTTACCTGAGCCTAAAATGTCTGGTATTCTACTGCACTACATCAGAAGAAGTATTTAGTTGTTTCTCTATCTCTGCAGCAGTGGGTTTTGTAGTGAATTCCTTCATATAAATTATGTGCTGTTTAGAAAGAACAATAATAACTGGTGCTTTTAAAAGTATCATTATTTGTGTAGTTGAGAACATCTATTCAACATGATCCTTAATGAAAAATCTCAAAGTCTATGATGTATTTTGAATTAAGGTAACTGATAGATTGATCAAAGACTTCAACTACTATGCTGTGTGATCAGTTGCAATAAGACAATGGCAGTGCTTTCTGGGGTAGCTTAATGGGCAATGACATATTTGATATATGAAAAATCATACTGTTTTTTAAAAAGGGATCTAATAGAAGTATGCAATGGTAAGTGATATTTTCGAAAAAATGTATACACAAAGGACCACAGGTATGTAACAAAAATGAATCAATTTCATTTGTTTTCAACTAAAACTGTTTAGAAAAAAATATTTGTTTTGTATCTTTATTTTTTCAAGCTGGTTACTGGTTGAATTTCTGGCATTATAAGCATAAATCAACCATCTTTGTTCCTATATTTGGCCATTTATTCCTTTCTTTTTTTTTTAGTGTAAATAAAAACATGATTCCATGTTTTGAAAGAGCAACAACAAAGGTCTCAATCTTGAAATCTCCTTTGCATCTAATTGCCTTGCTCTTTTAATTTCCTGCTTGCTGTCTTTTAGGCATCTTCCAGCACAAACCTATTCTCCATTCTATTGTTTCTTACAATAGTGCAGTCCAGGATTTTTCAGTCTTAATCTAAACAAATTACAATTGTCTGGCTGCTGTTTCTCTACCATTTTTGTTGCCCACCCCTTACATTTATTTTCATCTTATTGATAAGCCAAAAAAAATTTTTGTTTACCTTCAATTTTGGTAATTTGCAAAAAAAGTAGAGTGCTATTTTCCAGATATATTTGCAAATCATTTCTCATTCAAATTCATACATTCAAATACTTTACTTCTGGTTGGAAAAATTTTCATATAACATGGTCCTAGGCATTACCCATGAAGTAGAAGAAATATGTATGTGTGTGTGTATATGTGTGTGTGTGTGTGTGTGTGTGTGTGTGTGTGTGTGTATATATATATATATACACACACATATATATATATACACATACTAATTTTATATATATATATATATAATTAGTAGGTATAAATCGTGTTGATTTAAAATGTATATCTGAAAAGTCCAAAACTGTGATTTCCAATCTACATAAGAATGCCAAAGAGAAGATATATATAATGATTGGTTAACATGATACAATTATTGGAATTTATGATGAAACTAAAATATAAATATAACATTTAAAAATATATGATTATCATACCCCTGTTTTTATTTGATATATTTTTAAGATTCTTAAAAATACAGACTAAAATATTGTAAAGATTTTATCAAGTAAGACAGATTATTTTTTGCTCTGATAATCATTTTCCACAATGAATATCTTACAGTCACAGATACTATAGCTTGTTTAGTATTTTGAAATGGGAACATCTCTAGCAGTTTTGTTCATTTGGGTCACAGCTGTGCCATCTATTTGCATGTTTACCAAATGGTTACTGAATAACACATGCCTAAGAAAACTAAGCTTTTGCAAAAGCTTGTTAATATTTGCAGTCCTCAACTGAACTCAGAGCTCACAAATGGGCTTTTTGCAAAGGAGCCTGAATTCTTGGCAATGCATGATAAATGTCAGCCAGTTTCTTTAACCATCTGCAAATAAAGGTATACTAGACAATGATGACTTCATAATAGTCAACGTTGTATAATAATCCAGGAACACCTGTGAACAGTTCCTTTTACAAACCTATCACCATGTATTATACTAAAAAAAAGTAAAGGATTTTTTAAAGAACAGTGTTAATCTGATGTGCTAGTGAAGCTAAAGATGAAATAAGCTGCACTGATTATTGGTTATCTTTTACAGAGACTCACATTGCGACATGTTAACAGTAACCAATGTCTCGATGAGCCTTCTGAAGATGACAAAATGGTGCCTACAATGCAGGACTGTAGTGGAAGCAGATCCCAACAGTGGCTGCTAAGGAACATGACCTTGGGCACATGAAGACCATGTCCCCCAAGCCGTGAAAGTGTCTACGCTTTTGTTTTTCCATTATTTCAATTGGGGGAAAATATTAACTTTGCTGAGTTGAAAGTTTTAAAAATCATTTTAGTATTCTAAAACACAATTGTTTATAATTCATTTCTAGAAATGTTTGCATATTTCCCTACTAAAATTTGTATCTGGTCAAAGAAGCACATAAAAATATAAGTAATAGCAAACTGTTATTAAACAACAGAACAACTTGGAAAACAAATTGTGTTTGCTTTAAGGAAAATCTTTATTGCACTCATGTCACAGGGTTAATTGGAGGTTATTTTATTTTTGTTGTCATGGTGATAGAATGTAAATGCCTTATAAAGTCATGTTCATTATGAAATAGCATCAGTTCTTTATAAACTCTTTTTACTGGACCTTCATAGAAACATGTTTAATTTCTATGTCTACAATAGGGCCACATATTATTTCTGAATGGTGAATTCTTCTTACAAAATGTTCCAAGTTTTAGACAAGGAAAAACATTACATTGGATATTGAATTCATAGAGCCTTAACAGAAGCATCACATTCAAACCAATGTGAATTCAAAAAAGATGGCAAATTTTTAATTCAATTTAAAGTACATTAAAAAAGAACTCCGTGAAGCACTGAAGGGAACAAGATGAATCTAAGCCACAACACTTCAATCACTGTAAGCGAACTCAAAGTGGGTTGCAATCATTCCTAACACATGCTGAAGCCAAACAATCTTGCTCCCAGAATTTATGTTGGAAACTCAATTATTAACCAAAATTTTGCTCCCCACAAACTCTACCATCCCTTTTCACTCTATAGACAGTGGCATGCCACTGATGCTCTACAGAATTGTAGGTGAAAGGGAAAATTTTAGATTTAATTTTTAACTTTATTGCACGTAAAGATTTTAGTTAGGTCACCACTGTCATTTTAATTTGATATATTAAAGAATACCTTTCAGTGTTATCCTCCAATATCTAACAATTTATCACCAGGGGAATAAACTCAACACACCTTCATTAAATTTTTACCATAATTAAACTGCTAGATATTGTTTGCCATATATTATGACCCAAGGAGCATAGTTATAATTAGGCCAAATTCACATTTTATTTTCTCGTCTTAAAACCATTTATGTTCAAAATACATTAGCAGAAGCCATGAACATGAAAAAATCAGATTTTTTCTAATAAGTTTTTGTATTTGACATCATTTAAAATGCTCATAGAGTTGCCCTATATATGTTTGTTATTCATTATAAATGCACTCTGCAGCTAAGAGAAATTTGAGAAGAAAAATGGAAGTGTTTTCTGGAGCAGAAGATTTCACTTCTTTGGCCCTCATCTCTACTTAAAAAGCTCTTATAGAAAGGAGTAATCAGTTTGACTACATACAAACTGTCTATGTCTCTGACATACACTTACATATACACTGCTTTATAATGAAACTGAGGACACTTTCTGATGGTCAGTAAAATCTTAAATGATTTTTTCAGCTGGTATTCCTTTCTCTTTTGATTTTTTTGTTAGTACAGCTCTGGGAAAGAATCTACAACCTGGAGCATTTCAGATTTGCTCTTAAAGTGTAGATACCCCTCACCACAAGCTCTCTGGGAATCCGTGAAATTCCTAAAATTGTAAGCAAAAGGTTGACTATCAGGGCATGTTTTTCAGAGGTGGGAATATATCACAGCAAACTTGGAAAGAAGGCTATGACTCCCAAGAGGCAGTGAACCATTGCCTTAAATTCATAGCAGCCTCTCAAGTCCATTGTGGCCTCATGTGAAATTCCCATTTTTCATTTTTACATGTCTTTTCTCCCCTCATTTCCTCTTGTCCTGACCAAAGTAAGGCAAAAAGACCCTGCACAGCATTATTCCTTAAGTTGAAAAAGCTTTAGCTTTCAAGGACTCATGTATACCATATGTTCCACTTATTGATTTGTCAAAATGCATGTTATATAGAAAATGGTCTATGGCAAAGTTTTATAAATACAGCTACCCCATCAAAGCTGAACTTGAAACATTTTAGCAGCATTTTAAATATGTGAAAGGTCATTATGGTCATAGTGAGAAAAACTGCATGAGTTTCATGCAAGAAAAGAATTTTTAAAGAAACTTCAGATGGCTTCAACACATGCCATTATATTATCTAACAAAACGTGGCATAAAATGTTATAAAACACCCAACACTAGAAAGCAATGACTAACATTCAATTTGTTTTCAGAAATGTTTATTGTCTTCAGTACAAAAAGTTAAAACCATGATTGGATTTGTAATGCACTCATCCCTTATTTATGGGGCTAGATTCACAGATACTTTATTTCAAACCAATCTCTTCTGTAGTCTTCTCCATCTCAGTTAATGCAACTTCAGCCTTCCAGATGCTCAGGTCAAAAACTGAAAGTTGCTTTTGACTCCTCTATTTCTGTTTCAACTTTCATCTAATCCATCAGCAAATTCCCTCGATGCTACCTTTGAAATATAACTAGAAAAGAATGACTTGCCACCACATCCACTAGGTGTCACTACCTCTGACCTTTTTAATCGCAATATGCTTATTATTTGATTCCCTAATTTTCCAGTCCTTGTCTTGAACAATCTATTCTCAGTACAACAGCCATAGTGATTCTGTTAACCATGAATTTGATTGTGTCACCTCCCTCCTCAGAATCTTCCAATGACTTCTCCCTCTAGTGGCCTTCAAGGTCCTTCATGAGCGATAGCCCCCTACACATCCATACCACTCATTACACATACACACGTATGCAATTCCACCTTTTTCTGACTCACCTCTTATCTCTTATTATTCTGCCTCTTACCCCAGTATGGCTCCCAAGAAAGTTCCTGCTTTAGTGTTTTGTTCCCTCTGCCCCAGAGAGCTCCCCTTATTGGTCTCAGTTCAAATGTTATCAGTAAGACAAACCCTTCTCCCTTCTGCTTTCCCTATCCCCTGTACCTGACAATCTATAAGTTTGCTTCTTTATTTCTGTCTGCACTTCCTCCTCCCCAGCCCAAAACATGCCTATCACATGCTCTAGAAGGTAAGTCCCATGAAGGCAGGGGCTTTGTCAGTTTTGTTAGTTTGGTATTCCTGGCATATACAAAGTATTCTTTAAATATTTCTTGAATTAATGAACTGAAAAATGTGTGTTAAAGTTGCTAAGTGTTATTGTATCATACTTTTTTTGTATTTTAAATTTTAAAATAAAGGCTAATAATATATTTAGACAGGATTTTCAATAACTTTGTCTTCAAATTATAATTTTCTTCCTAATATTCTTCACATTAATCTATGGACTATATATTATTTTCTGGATAAAATATCCTACCTTATGGAAATGAAATATGATATTTTATTAAAATGCTGCTATATTATATAAGTTGTTTCATTAAGCTAAAAATAGTTTTAATTTTTATCTTTTGGTTGTGTCCAATGGCCACCTGAAGGGATAGATTTTGACTTTTAAAAGGGAGACATGTCATTGTCTTAAAAATTATGTATTTTCATGATTTCATAAGAACTTACTAAATTTATCTTCAAAGTGCAGTGAATGGAATAAACACAATTATAGAGATTTTTAAAGGACTTTACAGATGACCTAGTCTTAGTTTCTATGTTTATAGACTGAAACCCAGATATGTAATATAGCTTTTCTAAGGATCATATATCTATAAGTGGTATTGCCTGGACCCCTTATTATTAATATAAACTAATATTGTCAGTCAAAAAGTTATGGAAATGGAATAATGATGAGAAAAATATCTTCATTAAACATGTTATGGGGCCAGGCACAGTGGCTCACAACTGTAATCCTAGCACTTTGGGAGGCCAAGGTGGGCGGATCACTTGAGTTCAGGAGTTCAAGACCAGCCTGGTCAACATGGCAAAACCCCATCTCTACAAAAAATACAAAAATTAGCTGGGTGTGATGGCGCACACCTGTAATCCTAACTACTCAGGAGGCTGATGTTGGAGAATCACTTGAGCCTGGGAGGCAGAGGCTGCAGTGGGCCAGGATCATGCCACTGCACTCCAGCCTCAACTATGTCAAAAAAAAAAAAAAAAAAAAAAGCTATGATTAGTACATTGATTTTTTAGAAATATTTAAATTCTTACCACCTTTTGTATTTAAATAAAATTAGTTCTTTAAAATAATACAAGCACTAAGACCTACAGCAGAAATGAACTACCAAGAAACAGCATGATCGCAGGAACATCCGAGCATTACTGGGTAAGCTGGGTTTCAGAGAATCAGTCTCTTGAGTAGTAACTAATGGAACATGCTCACTTTCACTTTCCTTCTAATTATCTTCAAGTTGAAAGTAAGGTTTGGCCTACAGCTTGCACAGAGAATTAGACCATCTATTACTGTGAAGATTGGGTAGGTTCTATGTTATGCAGCTTCAAAGACTGCAGGGAAATCAGCAGAGATTTCTAGGCTTCCCAGTGGAGCTCTGTAAACTCTAGTAAACACAATCCATAAATTTGATTTTGCCATGGTGCTTAGAAACAGTCTAATAAAAAGGAAAAAAGTATGAAAAAAAATAACTACAGTAAAACAGAACTGTTTTTACCCTTTTAAGAAATTTGGTGGGAGGTTAGGAACATATTCTGAATTGGTTCAGTAAACCTCAAAATACCATCTCCCCCACACATGGTTTCACCACTTAAGACATGATGATCGTATCTGCTCACAACCATTTTACTTGCATCTCATTTACAGATGCTAAATCTAGTCTCAGAGGAGGCAAAACATGTATGCATTCTTAAGTTATAAAGTACACTGATTTCACAAATATGAAGAATTTTAGAAATTCAAATTTTTAATGGATGTGTCACCATCCACAGCTGTTATCCTGCATAGCTGATATCTGCTGCAAATCTTGAATAAATTTCCAATTCAGTTGGGCAACAAAAATTCAATTAGATCTTAAGGCAGCTTGTGTTTCAGGATTCTACCACTGCCCATTTTCCCCAATATGTCAAAATATCGAATAGGTGAAATCAGCCCCTCTTATGTACAGCATATAAAAACATCTGTTGTGACTACACCATGTTTGAACTGCTTCTAAATATCAGCTATTGTATGAATTTATGGTGTTGAATGAGCACCAGCAATGTGTTCTAAATGATTTGTGTATATTTGTAGCCCAGTTTGTTTTATATTAGTCAATAAATTCTAAAGACAATTTTCATTGTATTTGTTTTAAAAAAAAACTCCCTCTGAAATACTAGTGAATTCAGGGCAGTTATTTTCTTAACTATCTTTTAAGATAAAGACCACTTCTGTGATACTTGTGTCATCATTATATGAAGTTATTTTGTTTTTGTTTTCAGCTGGAGAGAACAAATCACTCAATATTCTGTTTTTAATGAGTTAGAATGCCAATGAACATTATATGATTAAGGATATATCTATAAAGTTTTTTAAAAATGAGATTTTTCATCATGCATTCAATTGGCATGAAAATGAAATGTAAGCTGCTGCTTGGTTCCAGTTGTACTGAAATTTTAGCTAAAAATAGCACAAGGGGGAGAAAAGGACTTGATGATTACATGTGTTGGTTGTTTTTTTTTGTTGTTGTTGTTGTTTTTTCTATTTCAGCTTTTGTGTTTTTTTGTTTTGTTTTGTTTTGGCCAGTGTAGCCACAGCTAGAAAGGAGTAATTTCAAAAATGTTTTAGATATATGCTTGGCACATGGTTCTTTAACATTTATAAAAGTAGATTATGCATAAAGAATGACATATTTTAAATACTGTAAGCATTAGTAAATGATATAATTGTTATTTTGCTATAAATTTAAATATACATTTTTATAGAATTAAAATATGCCAATTTAGTTTTCCTTTGGTATATATTGTCTTTTGAAAATAAATAACATTTCAAATAGATAACTTCAGTACTTTATGCTTATCTTTCATATTTGTAGATTATTTAAATAAAGATTAAGTGCCTATTAATATCTCATAGCAGCAAGAAAATGTTGTGATCCCGGTACAATTTTGATACCAAAATATATAAAATAGAAACATTAAAATATGCATGATTTTAAATTATTATTTTATTTTTCTGAAATGATTTGAGATGGATTTTTTCTATTTTATAAAAATAATTAGTAATAGAAAAATTAAAAAGTCTCATTGATGATAAAAATTATTTTTCAGAATACTATAGGCCATAGCTAATACTTGGATTCTGAGGCTGAAATCCTAAAAGACAGTCTGTCAAGGTGAGAGAAAGATGGAGAGAAGCTGCCTATTCCACAGCGCAGTGATTCCCCAGGATCAACTTTTCAGTCTTAATTACAAAGAGAATCAAAAAGAACATTTAATTTTCTAAGGTAGAGAAAGGAAGGAAGAGAAGGAAGAGAGAAACAAGAATAGAGAAGGAAAGAAATAAAGGAAAAGAGAGGAGAGGAGAGGGGGGAGAAGGGAAAGGACGGGAAGAGAAGAAAAGAAGGCAAGGAAAAGAAGGGACGGGAATAAGGCAAAGAAAGGAAAGGAGAAGGGGAAGGGAAGGGAAAAAGGAGATTCTAATATCTGTTTTCATAATTTTGTTCTGAAGAGACTCATCTAAAATTTTCTATTGTATTTGCATGGTTCAGAAGTCCATTGATCTGCAAACATGAACACCTCATTAATTTTCCACAGCTTTTGTAACTGTCAGCACATATAGAGAACATTTCTGGATTTTGTGTCTTACACACAAAATGTCTCTTCTTGGCTTTCTGTAAACCAAGTGTGACTCATGATACCCAACTCTGTTACTCTCTTTTCTGTTACTCTTGTCCATACACAGCATACATTTCCAGCAGTAACCAGGTACTCAGTATAGCCTAATAAAGCAGCCCCATCCGCTAACTTACCTTGTCTTGCTTTTCTTCAGCACCTGGTAGAAACAGAATGTGAGCTCTCATGCTCAGAACTGTGTTTTCCTCTTCCTCCTCAGTCAAGGACACTATTAGGTGGGCTCTCTGCTGACTCACTCATTTTCTGACATAATGATTTTTTCCCCCACAGGATAGAGTATATTAATCACCAATCTCTGATTCTACTGTGGGAACGAGTTGGTATGTAGCCTACTGAATTTTTTTTGAAAGAAGTCTCTTCACCAATTTTTTGAAGTGAATACCTAGATAAACATGCAAATATCTAAAACATATTTTACAGTTTTCTTTGCAACACGGAACACATGAACTTGGTGCAGCAAACACTCTACTACATGATAATGTATATAAGTTGGAGGTTGTGAGATCAACATTGTCCAATCAAGGTCAGAATTGAAAATACCCTTCCTTAAGACTAATGGGCCCTGATCCTGCAGCTTGTTTTCTCTGTGTACCTGTGAAACTTTTTGGCCTTTAAACAATGATATGACGTTAAGTTGGATATATGAAAGCACTTCAAATTTCTTCTTTTATTTATATGGCCAAAGTGGGGGTTGAATCCATTTTTTCCATTTAGTTAGATTTTAAAATTCTGGTTTCCATTAGCAGATTTAGAATCATTTGACTCAGCAGCTCACCATCTCCTCCTTTGGGTATACTTTCTTTATTTCTTGGTTTTCCTTTCACCTCATTGGCCAGTGATTTCCCGTTTCCTTTGCTAGGCTTCCCCTTCTTTTTCCCATGTCTTAATACTAGAGTGCCTCACGGTGCAGTCCTTGGTCTTCTCAATTTGCATTCACTCTTTAGTGATCTCATCCAGAAGCACGGATTTCCATTCCTCCAATGCTCATGACTCCCAAATATCTCTCTCCAGTTCACAAACTGCTTACTTGACATCTACACCTGGATAACTAATAGACATCTCAAACTTAGCCTGTCCAAAAGTGAACATTTTCTTTCTCCTACAAATCTGTTCAACCCAGAGATTTTCCATCTCAGTTGACAGCAACTCCATTTTGCTAGTTGCTCAGGCCAAAAATCTTAGCATTCTTGACACCTCTCGCTCCTTTAGAAAATCACCTGATTCCACGTTCACAGTGTTTGCTGCATCTGACCACTTCTTAACACCTCAACTAAAGATCAGGATGGCTCCCTGATCTTTACTACCTACTAAATTATAGCTGGATTCTCCTGACTGGTTTCCCAATTGCTTGCACCCTTGCCTCCTCCATTGTCTGTTCTCAAAGAGAGCCTTAAATTTGAATAAATAAATAACTGTTTAAAAGAGATTTAGAATAATGCTATAAAATGTAACCCAGATATGTCTGTCTGCTGCTCAAAGTCATCCAGTGGCTTCCTGTTTTGCATAAAGTAAAAGGCTACGTCCTTATAAGAGCCAAAGACACTGCATGATGTTCTGGCCCCTGTTAACTCTCTGACCTCCTCCCATACAATGTTTCCTCTTATGCACCTCATCCCAAGCACTC